AACTAGATGATTGTTTTTAATACAAATCTATTTATATCAAATGACGTATCCATCTCTGAGCGTGCACAGATCTAAGGCATTATGTTAATCACTGGCTCATTGCATCACATTTGGCCTGGGGTTTTGGAGGATAAAGTGAACATTAAATAAAACAGGGATATCCTCCGTTGGAGCAATAAATTGCCTTTAAAAATCTAATTAGAGCATCTGCAAAATACATTCTATGAAGTGTTACTCGGATACATGCTGAAACTTCACAAACTGTCGGATGTGGTGTATGCTGAGGATGCTTCTAGAACCTACTGCATCTCCATCTTTGACGTATATTTGGCTGAGATAGGATGAGACGGATTCAAATTCAATATTTGTGATTCACTGAGAACGTAAGCGAGGCCATCTGCTTGGAGACAAGCGAGAAGGAACAGGGGGTGGACGGCAAGACATTTCAATACAAATTACTCTGAACAAACCATCCATTTCAAATTAAAATGGCCATGACACCTGCAGTGTCTGTATACATGTACTGTATTAGTGAACACTTTTGCAGGGCTACATATTTGATGTAGTTTTGAGTGCAAAACACATGAGGGGCAGAGTTTGACATCTGACAACCTCGATAGAAGCTGTTAAGACCGAGGAGGGTGGCAGCTTCAGTGACAGAAATATACAGAGAGTGTGGGGGCAAAATCTCAGATTCATTCCTCTGCCCACAATATGTGTGAAATGATGCATGCATCTGTTAGTGCACGTGTGCGTACATATGTGTTTGTGGGCGTTCAGATTACTGTTGTAGATTTGGATATAAATGTGCTCATATCATTGTACAGTTAGTGTGCTATCGATGCAGTTTTATGTTATATAGTTAAATAAAGAGCTAACAAGGTCGGCTTACATACAGTACATTTATCAGGGAAATCACCCAATTATAGGTTAAGGAGGAGGTCACTGGAAAAATAGACTGAGGTATTCACTTACCACTAAATGAAAATCAATAGCATTGTATGCATGCTTCCGGATGACTTAGTTTCCCTATCTTAGTTATCCTTAGTTAATTATTTTTATATAACAGGTTTGTTTTTGAGTGAGGCTTTGTGGCAAATAATCCACTGCTAACCACATTTCCTGAGAAAGAAATCTAGCACTCAAAATGTGATGCACCTACCAAAGGTAATGAGAGTTGCTTGTTTAGAGTAAAAACAGAAATAAGTGGGCAGTCGGTATGATTCTGAGAAGCGGCTCAACAGACTCTGAGAAACTCAAACTAATGTGTAATCCAATATAAAATGAAGAAGATAGTTTAGCATCCACTTATTATACAGGACGCTGAAGCTCGTTGTTAGCTGTGGTTACAAGTCATGTAACTCCAGCATCCTAAGCACCCTCAAATGGAGTAAAAGAGCAAAATAATAATAATATTCGGCACAAAAGCATTAGGTGCCTTGCCATTTTAGCTAGGACGGAACAATCGTGGTTCACTGCATTCCCTGGTTGAACTTTAGAAGTAACCCATTCTAGCAGTCAGAGCAGGTAGTAAGAAAACACATTTACTTGAGAACATTGTAGTACAAATTGCTGCCATTATGCTGCACTCACACCTTGAAAAGGATTACCTTGACATTAACAGTGTGTTCACAGATGTTGGAATCCTTAAAGCACCCGGTATGGACACAAGTGGGAGATTTCATCTAAATGCCATGGCTGTGAATCGCTCTGGGATGTTAGTGCTCACAGAGGTTGATAAGCTGGATTCAAATGTATAAGCAGAGAGAGAGTATCAAAGAAATAGCTGAACAGTCAGGCAAAAACTGACCAATTACTAACAACAATGGCAGTTTATATCATTTCACTTGAATGATGCTCTATATATGATTAATGTAATTTTAATGCAATCTGATTAAGAAAAAAGGTTTTGAAAGCCTTTTACATTTGCTACTTGTCTGTGCCCTTTATGTAACATGAAGGAGATACACTGCTAACTGCCTGACTACATTGTCTGGTAACATCTGTTAATGTCAAGTAGCATACAATTAAAAGAGCATATTTCACCTTTTTCACATGTACGTCCGGTGAAACAGTGATTTGTATGCTAATGATTTACATACAGTGTTTTTTTTATATATATGTGTTTTTGCTTCCATATGCTAACTTAATGAATTGTAAACAGTTACTTTGTATCTCTTCTCCACAGAGACACAACGTGCATCTCATTGTGGCGTGGAGTGAGTATTTGCAGGTTTATAGGCCAAAGGGTTTGACATTAGCAGACGGAGTCCTTGCGCCTCACATGCTGGTCATGTCACGGCAAATCTCATCTCATCTGGCTCAGAGGGAAGGGGCTGCTGGCTGCTGAAAGGCCAGCTTCCAAACAGATACCATCAGCCTGACACCTTGACCTGACTGCAGCTGAGGGCTACAGCTCCGCTCCATATCATATCCAGACGCATTAAGGTGAGAGAGCAAGGTCACAATATAGTGCATTAAAAACACAAGGCTGATCCTTTACTTCCAAAGCACCGGCAATAAAAAAAAGATCAAGTAGTAGGTCAATAGGTGAACTACTGTAGTTTTAGAAGTAGTAGCAGCAGTAATGCTATGAAAAAAAGCATTGTATGCCAGTTGAGCTTGCTTGGTCTCAAATGCAACCAATTATAACACACCCTGATCAGATCAATTGCTCCCATTGTTCCTCATGTTTGTGAGTGTATCATACATGAGGTGTTGAAGCTAAGGAGGGTGAGATCAATGTTTGTCCTCAAGCTGAATACAACAGGGATTTTCTGGTGTTGCTGAATCTCTTTGGATTTCCCGTTATCAAGATGGGAAATCCTGCTATAGTGTTATAGATACATTGTGTCAATAGTAGCCTTTTATTTATGTTGGCATTTAATTTTACCTTGTGCTAATTAAAGTGTATTTCACCTAGAAGAAAACCTATCTACATGCAGCATCCAGCCACATTCCCTTTATGGAGCTCAAGGCTTTAGTTACTGCAGGTCTCTGGAGGAGGAATCGACCGTGAGATGTCATGGCATTGAATACATTGTTGTCTATAGCTCGACTCTGGTTTGCTCCATCTCGTCTTTTCAGCCCACCTCTCATCCACATAGTCTCTCCCCGTCCTTTATACACTCAAACATTCATATTCTGGTATTCATTAAACAACGTTGTGTGTGACTGAGTGGCCATGAAGCAGGGGCACTGCTGTGTAAGGCTACCCAGTCAGCCAAAGAATATAATAAAATGTTCCTTGCGAAACGACAGAAACCTCGTGTTCCAAGTGTGTGATAGATTTTTCGCCAAAGCAGTGAACAAAGCATCAATATTTAAACAAAGCAGCTGAATTAAAAGACAATCAATGAGAAAAAGGGCTTTCCATTATCAGGGTGTGAGGAACAAGTGAATAATATGTGGAGGAACTGCACAGCCTGCTGACATTCTCTCACTGCAACATCTGTCACATCCAAACAAATCTGTCGTGACCTCAACCACCATATAAGATCAATTAAAATAAAGTACAATTCAAGGCAGTTTCAGAGAAATGACTAAGAGCCAAGAAAATAATAAAAGTCTCCTCGGTAGTGCAGGGAGATCACACACTATCCCTAGTGCTTGTCTGACATCTAGTGGTCAACCCGGGGTACAGACCCTCTCTAAGCATAGTTTGAATGTGTGTCATGACAGTGGTTCCACACATAAGAAATGGTGTGATTCGTCATAAACTGAGACCACTTTCATGCCTGGCAGGGGCTGTTGGAGTTTTTGGATTGCACTCCACCAAGTCTGACATAAACAGTGTTCAAGTGCATTTTAAGTGCAGAGATGTAACGCACAATCATATGACTCAATCAAATGGGATGCACATCTGTATGACTTTACAGGAGCACCTACCACTGAAACATGAACTCTGAATTTTAACCATCACCATTACTCACAAATGTTAGAATTGTCTAACACAAACACTGACCCCCTGCCCAATAGTGATCCTTTTGACTGCAAACTGAAGATTGATGAATGACTCAATAAAGGCATGGCCATATTCTCTGAGCACATTAAAAAGCCCTTAATTGCTTTGTGAAGCTATTTCCACGAACGCTGGGTGAAAGTCAAGTCCACATCTGTCTTCTCCAACACTGACATGGATTTTGAAGAACATACACACAGACACAAACATTGTTGCAAACATCAGGTTTTCTCCAATTTTGTCGCTGTGGCTGGCAGCACTTACCTGTGGGCTAGTTTTTCAATTGTCAGTGGCCAAGATAGAAATAACAGTTTGCTATCATTCTGTCAGCATGGGGCAGAACAACATTAGCTTGCTCTGAAAATAAGCAAGCACCATGTGGTGCCGACTCTCTGTGGATAAGCAATTAGCTTTCTGGGGGCCAAAACTACTGTTTGTCCCACATTGAAAACAAGCAACACCTGTGTGTGCAGCCGAGTGGAGCCAAGACTCAGCTCTGCATAATAGAAATAGAATATCCAACAGGGGCGTGTCAAGTTGCCCTTTTCAGAATTAATTGTGGAGAAGATTGATGGGAAAATGAATAGAATGGGTTACGAGCAGATGAGAGGCAATGAAATCATTTTAGAGCGGAGTGTGGCAGGCAAGCGAAGAGGATGGCAGGATGAAAAATCCTGATGATTAGGAAAGGAAAACATTAATTCAATCTGTGGAAGAAAAAGGGAAATCAAAGTGACGGAACTCATAAAAAGAAGACAAATACGACCTAGATTATGTACTTGAAAAGAGGTGGGGAGAAACATACAAATGAGGCGATAAGAAAAACACAAATGAACGATGGCAAAGAGGGTAAATGATCTGTAATGGGAAAAATAAATCCAACAGTTTCATGGGTAAGGAAATATGGAAGAGTGACGTTGGTAATGAGAGAGGCGTCACTCTTGATGAGGTCAGGAGGAAGCAGAAAAGGGCGACTGCACAGAATCAAGATGAGATAGACAGATACATTTTAGTCAGAAAATTGGATAGAACCACTTACTGAGGCTACAGTCTATCCTGATACAATCTGGCGGGAGAAAGAGCGAAATGGTGAGATCAAATAAAAAGAAAAGAGAAAGAAAGAGACAGAAAGAGGATAAAAGAGAAAAAGACATTTTACATCCTTCAAGGTACATTCTGCAGACAACCAAGCATTGCTCTGAGGCCACCATCCGGGGACAGGCTCTGAGTCAGGATCACCCTTTTCTCCATCAATCCCATCATACACCCCTCCTCTCCACCCGATGCCCTCAAAGCACAGCAGAAGGCAAGACTAGCACCACGGGAACGATACAATGAGAGAGCGTGGTGCAATGTCAACATAGTGATGACACTTCAAAAGAAACTCTGCAAAGTGCACCGTTTGATGATGTACTAAACACTTTATATGTGATTACAGAGACTACATCAAAATGCAAATTGTGTACTTGGAATTATAAGGTCTTATCTGAGTGGAGTACCATTTTGACATACTGAGCAAAGAATATTTTACGTACCATCTGGTAAAACATTTATGACTTTTGTATTGTATTACCTTTAAAGTTTTTTCTCTTTGTAAAACAAAATATAAAGTATTAAAGGTCCCATGTCATGGACCAATCCGTGGAGCCGTTACGTTACGTCCACGGAGCCGTTACGTTAAGTCCGTGAATTGGTCCAAATGGACCAATTCACGGACTTCCTCACACACACACAAACTTTTCTCTGCCGCAGCTCCGCCGATTTATGTGCCGAGGCTGTGAGTCGGTGTGTGAGCATACACACAAACTCCCAGCCAGGCTGCGGGTGTGTGTGTGTTCGGGCTGGGTTTCGCTGTGTCTCGCTGTCTCGCAGACGACAACTGGGCTCATAGGGAGCCAACAAGCCGTTTAGGACAGAGAGTGAATACACATACTATACAGAGATGCTGTATGAGAAACCAATGTGATTTTGGAAAATTGCACAGTATAAATCTATTCTAGTCGACCTCAACAATGGAATTATGATCAGTAGAAATGGCCATGACATGGGACCTTTAACTTCATAAAAAAAAAGTCAGATAGAGCCTATAATTTAAATTGCACAACATGTTTTGTCTATACTTATATTACCTTAACAACTTCATGTGGTTGCCATCTTGAAGAAGATTGCAAAAAAAAGTGTGTGAAACAATTGTTCTCACTGTGTGTACCAATAACCTTCTCTCGCATCTGCTGTGAACTTGCTAGAGCTAACGCAGCGACCATTAGTAAATCGATTTGAGTTTCAGTTGCCTTCTGCAGCACTTTGGAGCATGAGAAACCCAACAGTGTAAATGACAAGAAAGGGTGATCTGCACATCCCAGCCACATCATGCCTGGTGCACACAATGTGCAAGAAATAGGGCTGCCACTTTACTATTTGCTACAAGTGGTGCAACAAAAACACTGTGAAGGGTGTTATGACTTTACAAGCTGTGTTGTCAGAATAGAGTGTTGGATAAAAGTGCTGTCTTTCAAGTAGAAGGCACTGGGTAAAGCAGATGGTCAGTTACCATTTGCTAAGTACCCTACAGCAAAGAACTATTTTCTGCTCTGAAGCTTACCGTGACCTTAAGGGACAGGTCACAGGTTACAGGGATAATTAAAGTATGAAATTATAATTCCCCATTGAATACTATATTTTAAAATGAATTCATTGCTGTTCAGCCCCATCTAGTGTCGGTAAACTGTGTGTGCATGTGGCAGTGTGGTTGGGTTGTGGTCTCGAGCTGTCAACCGCTACAGAATAGTGGACACAAACAGCCAGGGACCGGCGTCACGTTGTAGAGAGTCGGGGGTTATAGAAACACAATTATTCAAACTATATTTAGGGGCCACATGTGTTTGTAAGCAGCAGTGTTCTCTGTAGGAAGCAACATTTGTGCAATCTTTCTGAAAAAAGGTGTCCCTTAAGTACGTGAAAGTGTTTTCAACAGATCAATAAATAAAATGATCAACAGAGTTAAATAACAATCAACCATCTAAAAAGGGAGAAACATTAAGCTGGTTATTGTCATTATACATCACTAATACATATCATTAAGGCTTAATCTGTCTGTATTGTCTTTGATAGTGAATAACTAGATGGGCTTTAATCATTCTAACAAGGATTAAAGCCTTGACAACTAATGATAATGTGTATTGTAATGAGGATTTGGATCTACTTTAGTTGGTAATTAATTAACTTGCAAAAAAGTCCTGAGGAGACCTTTAATGTCAGTCAACTGTTCAACTTTTACGCCCAATTGAAAACAGAAACATTAGAATGTGGGTCCCATTTCTCGGATGGAAATTGGAATACTAATATGAGCACGTTGGTGGTATGGATTTGACGTAGGTGTGTGCATGGGGATTTCTAGCAGGTCAAGTTGTGGCCCTGTGGACGGTGTTCGTGCAACTTTGCGGAACTTCAGCTGTGACCCGGTCTCTCTGACTGTTTGATCCAAGGGCCGCAGACATAAAGGCCATTGAAGGGATGAAAAGTTCCATCTTCTGAGTTTTGGCCAGGTGGAGTTTAGATGAATGACAGAAAATGAGCAGTGAGAGAAAGGGAGGTAGAAGAAGAAAGGAATGGCCACCTCCGCCCCGCCCCCTTCCTGTCTCTATGGTGGCTTAAACTCCCATAACCCAGGGTGCACCTCTGTCTTTCTCCCCCCCGGTTCAGCTTTGAGACTCTGGTCCTTCAAAGGCTCAGCACAGACTTAAAGTATCCTTAAGCTGGAAGGTCAAACCTAACTTCCCCAGAGCACTAAAACTCATCGCTATGACATTTTAACAAGTCAAAAGGTCTGCATTCCTGAAGCCATTTATTAGAAGGAATGTATTTGCCCTATCTCTGAAACTATCCCTCTTACAAACCCTGCTCTACAATTTCAATGACCTTTCCCCGCTACGATTGCCTTTTAGACTTTGTGACACCCCCCTCTACTTTTAACTTGTCTGTAATTACATATGCTAGGATACCTATCTTCTGTAAGCACCGCTGCTGGGCAAAAGTAGAGCTATTGAACTCCTCAGCTAACTCCACAGAAAAGGGAGAGGGCAGAACCATGAGGAGGAGCGACACAGGAGTAATGCCACCTTAAAGCTGCTAGAGACAGGTCAGTGGGTTGAAGCCCAGGGTGGGGGCCATGGATACTGTTAGGATGGAGGAGGAGCTGCTATGGGGCTTCACAGGGCACAAAAGGAAGTTGGTGATTGCAAGGAGAAGGGATGGTACAAGGGGTCAAATAATATGGAGGAGAAATGACTGCAGGGTGACTCCCCACAGAGGGAGACCTTTAGTTATATTTTCCTGCAGCAAGCACTTTTGAGGAGAAGTTTCTGTATTGTACCTCAGTTTTCTCAATTAAATATCCTTTGAACATCATCATGTTGGCATTTCTCAAATAAATAAATGTGCAGCTAGCTTGTTCAGCCAACACAGAACGATATGAAGTGTTCTCCATCATAAAGAACAAATAAAACATAACTGAGGTACAAAAGAAGAAGCGTTTCCCCAACCAACTATCAACATCAAAAACAAATGATCAAGGTGTCAAACCGTCGAGTGACGATGAGGAGACAAGGGAGGGAAAGGGGAGGTCAGCAGGGACAACGACCATGTAATACGGCGACCTACCGAGGTTCACGGTGAGCTTGACGCGGCCTCCGTCCAGCTCCAGCCGCAGGGTGTCTGCTGACTCCTTGGAGGTGGTGGCCATGAGCAGGCCGTACGCCCGCTGAGACATGAAGCGCAGCGCCAGGTCCTCTGCCTCCGTGTGCATGGTGACCGGCACTATGATCTTCAGGTACATGCTGCCGTCATAACTCAGCACCGTCGCCTCTGGATAGGGGCGAGGAAGAGGAGAGGAGAGGTTGAAATGTTACACAGGGAAGGTTGTTTCCAGAAAGAAAAACGTCTTGCAGAATGTAGGACATAGGCATAGAGTTTCATTTTTGTAAAATATCTCCATCGGATGTATTTAAAACTACAATTAGAACAAACTGATTTATATTTGTCTTACTTCATCAAACAGTAAAGATGTTGTTAATATGTGTCTGCCTTATAGGTGCTTAAAAGCAGGACCAGGAAAAGCGCTATATAAATCACATGTAATATTATTATTACTATAAAGAAATAAGCAGAAGTAATATTTAATTCAAAGGATGTTTGGTGACATCATGTACACAATGAGACATTTGTCTCTCTTTGTGTTTTTGGAATTGCACCTCTGTTGTTTGACATATCAAGTCGATATTAAATATGATTGTTTCTTCATTTGTTTTGTGTTCACACAATATGCCCAGGAGTTCATACCCCCCTAATTCATTTTCACAGAATGACAAATCTACAACCCAAAGCACCAAATGAAAACATTCATTATAATGGAAAAAAGAAACGCAATAAATATTCATAATGACTCCAACATCATTCACTCCCCAAGCCTAAAAAAAGTGAAGTTACGCTGGTTCAGGAGAAATTCTTATTCACACCAGGCAATGTGCCTACTCTCTCTAGAATCAGCCATGCCATAAATAGACTGCTGTGTTGAGTGACAGTTCTCTGAGTACTGCTCTTATTCTGCAGCGTGGGTTGACATGCGTCACCATAACATGAGTCACTGTCACAGGGTAAATGACACGTCCAGGTTTTAGAAAAATGTAGGTAAAGAAAAAATACAGAGAAAACCCTTCGACTGAATTCATAAAAACTGGTGCCTTTGCTGGCAACAGGGTATATGTGGGTTTTGAGGTGGCTTGGTACCTCAGTCTATTCCACTCAAATTAGAACAAGTTGAAAAGGCAAGAAATGTCAGAAGTGCTCAGTTACCAGATAAACTACTGTACCGACTGACTGCCTGTGTGTACTGCCTGTTGAAAAACATGTCCTTGTGTTTTGTAGGACCTAACCTCATGTTTTTTACTTTATATTGAGGGTTTATGTGAGGTTCAGTGAAATGTAAGGTGTACAACTCTGTGTGAAAAGACATTTCATTTGCAAATATGACAGGATTCAATAAAAAATTAATTAATTAATAAAAAGTAATTATCAGTGCACAAAACAATATTAATTATCATCCTAAAACCAGCTTAAACAGCATTGATTAATTTTATTTAGTGGGCTTAAAGGCATCATGTAATATCCCTTGGGTTTATTCATCTAATCAATAGTATGGATTGTCCTTACACTCTGTGAATATATGCACTGAGTCTATTGACACAGAAAAATATGCAACTGGTTATTAGAAAAGTGCCCTGCGACACATCCATGCAGTAACAATAAACTCCAGTAGATGGCAAAAGAGGGCCACTAAAACTACACCTGTCACCTGAGCAGCCAAAGACAAAACTGTTAAAATATCACCCTTCAGAATAAAGACATTTCCTCCTCTACCTCCACTGTCCTGATTTGAGTCCAATCTCTCCTGTCCTCATTACCTTCCTTGTCCCTCAAAATGCCGTACAGTCATGGCTCAGTCGCCCCCACGGACACGCAAAGACAAACCATGAAGCGAGGCGCCTGCAGCTAATTGGAATGAATCAGACCTACGTGGTGCGGTTTAACTAGGTAAGCTGCCCTAACTGAGGCGTATGCACCACCTGTGTTTGGGTGAGTGACACAGATGGTGGCGGTAGGCCTGGCTGCTCTGTCACACTGCTGCAAGCCTCATCGCTCGAGGCCTCTGTCCACCCACCCCACCACCCAGCCCTGGGTGGCATTTGGTGCACACACACCTCCCTGCGGAGCTCTTACTCTTACTATAAAGCAGCTGCTTGGTTTATGAGAAATGCACAGCAGCGCATCATCAAAATGCTCATTCTAAACGTGTTCCCTGGTTTTATTGGATGGAGTTTACGACATAACATTGTAAACATTGTACAACATTAACAACTATACAGTTTCATTGTTTGACCATCTGCAGTGTATGCTGATGAGAAATTATGTTGCGTCACCGAAGGAACGGTGTTTGTATGTGTGTCACGCTTGGGATAATACAATGGCCTTTCTTTTTTGAATTGTGTATACCACAATTGTGCTATTTCACTAACTAGATGCAAGCTTATGATGAATTCTAGAGCTGAAAATGTGGTCCCTTCACACATATGGACACCAATTCCTTCCCTTGTCCCCTCTTACCTATCTCACAGTTGGTACCGAGGTATCCGGTGCCGATGCAGTCACAGATGTAGCGGTTCCAGCCCTCTTTGCACAGGCCTGTGTTGCCACAGGGGGCGCTGCTGCACCTCTTCTGCAGTTCCCGGGTGCAGAAACTGCTGACCCCAAACGCGCTCTGGATCTCAGCCAGACGGCGAACATCGCGGCTCTTTCCATCGATGAAGAGGTCGCGCACGCAGCCTACGTAGCCATAGTTAAGCAGCGCCGTCCAGACCTCTGGCGGCAGAATGAGGTCCGACTTCGACTCGGGCAGCCCACCCAGGTACATTTCGCTGTCCAGGTCCAGGATTTCACTGCCCTCTGGGGAGCTGAAGGGCATGCTGCGGCTGTTGACTGAGATGGAGCCTAAAGGACAGAAACAAAAAACAAGTAATCTATTAAATACTGAACGCGTTCGGATTTACAGGCACATAGATGTGTCAGTTTAACCATAGTTATTTAGTTTAGTCAAGAGAAGTGGTGTATATCTGCATGTTTTTTGAGCAAACATAATTTATATTGAAAGTGTGTTTTAAAGGTGGGGTAGGTAATTTTGGAGAAACCAGCTCGAGTGCGCTAGGATTTGAAAATACACAGCCGGAAAAAATCTGCCACTTCCTTACAGAGCCCCTCATCCAACACACACGAACGCGCACATGACCAATGAGCGCACGAGATAAGTGTGTGCACAGATGGAAGGCTGACAGGCAGGTAGGCCATCCAGTTATTTTAGCCGGGCCGGCTAAAATGATTGGTCGTGCTTTTTACAGTACCACGGCTTCCACAGATGAATTTTTTTAATGGATTTTTGGTCAAAGCACTTAAGATATTCATTGCCATCAGGATGTTAAGAGCATTCCATGGAATATAACAAAAAGTGTATCTCGAGCCGGTTTCTCAAACTTACCTACCCCACCTTTAATTAGTGCAAAACACTGAATTAGTGTTTGGTCTGGATAGGTGAGTGGGTGGGTGGGAGGTCAAGTGGCTGAGTTAGTGAGCGAATGGTTTTGTGAGAGGAGCAGTAAGTGGATCATTTAGGGACACATAGAGAAGGACATACATACAGAATGGATGACAGCCATGTGTGTGTGTGTGTGTGTGTGTGTGTGTGTGTGTGTGTGTGTGTGTGTGTGTGTGTGTGTGTGTGTGTGTGTGTGTGTGTGTGTGTAACATGCATGTCTGTAATAGGCTAAATGGAGGAGAAGGGAAGCAGAATGCAGCAGAGAGTGGGTGAAACAAAAGGCCCTCTGTCTTTCTGTGATTAACGACTCCGTCTTAATTTTCTATTAAAAGCCAATTACAGCAGGAGCAGCAGTGAGATCATCACAAGCAAGCGCGCACATACACACACACTCGTTCACAACACCGTTCCTCATTATAAGACGCCATTAGGGGGAGATATAATGTCCTAGGTGCTTGCCCACCTACAGATCATTCATCAGACAGCAGACACTCAAGCATTCAGATGTCGGTGTTTGCGCCCACATGCACTCAGAGACATCTGATTACAAGTCTCTCTGCACGTCAATAAACCTATATTAACAAATACCAATACATGTAGCATTAGTTTTAACAAGCTTGGGTTAGCATGGAAAGCTAGACGGATTTGGACTAGCCAATTATCTATGCACATTTGTGTTTTTTGTACATTAGAGGACTTAGGAACAAGTATATATATTTAGCCGTAATTGTAAAGTTTCAACTAAAAGCCAATTTCCGTTGGGGCTGTGGGTGAGGAATTGTATACATGTATTGTCTTGATGTACAATAAAATGACAAAAAAACATTGTTTGATGTAACATGTAAACAATAAACAGAATGACCAAATAGCAGAAGATTGGTAAATGAGTGCATTTTATTTTTACCTTTATTTAACCAATGTTAACATTCAAATTAATGTTTGCTACAGTCAAAATTAATTTTATTTTTTTTGTATTCAAAACAAGCTTATTATTGTATATGATAAATATCTGCCTGACACGAAAATACTTCTTGATGTGAATAATAAGAAATGGATTGGCTATAATATATGGATGATAAATGTGAATGTTAACAAAGGTTGCATTTAAAGTTTGCACATGCACAGCAAAATGTAAGATCAGTTGTCAGTTTCAACATAACAAGTTTAAACCACCCCTCACCTTTCCTCCCTTCCCTCTGGAAATCCACATGGCACCACTCTCCGTCATTAACCTTCTTGTTGCTGGCCCTCAGCTTTGTTTCTCCAGAGCCCATATCGATCAGCAGGTACAAATACCCCTCCAGCAGCTCCATGGCGAAGTAATCAGTCTTCAGCTCCCGACCAGGCTTCTGCTCTTTGGGACCCTGAGGACGGCCGTGGCTGAACAGCAAGAGCCCGCTGGGCTCCGTAGTGCGGAAATCGAAGGAGATAGATCCCATCTTTTTGGCGTTCCACTTGGGCAGGGAGATGAAGGACTCTGGGGTCTCAAAGGTGACGGGGTCCAGGGCGGCCACGTCCTCGCAGCGAAACACCAAGTCGCCATTAAGGCTGATTTTAGGGTCTCGATCGATGGCCAGCCGAGACAGCTCCAGCTTGAAGTCGTTGTTTTTGTACACCACCTGGAGAGCAGAGAGGAGAGCAAGTGTTTACCAGTTTAGAATGCTGTATACAAAATGTGTAGTTACAAGTTTTTGTGGCTTCAAATATGGCATCTAGAATTGGATAATTATTTAAAAATGGACAAAAAAAATGCAGATGCAACAGTGAACATTACTTCCATAATCCTGAGATCCCACAGATGTACCCTAATTGCCCAAATTAATTTCAAGTGTCATGATAGTGGCTGCTGGGAAATCTTGTCAGCAGCGTGAAATGATGAATCAAGATGTGAGTGTTGAACATTACTTTTGCTTGAATATTTGGAAACAAACACATGATACATACACAGTTTAACTATCTCTGAATAAATACAGATCCTAAAGACAGTGTTAAGATAACTGATGTTATGTGCAATCCTTTTATACTTTGAATGATTTCAAAACGCTGCACAACCACTTAGTGCCAATGAGTTGCCCGGGGCATGCTTCCATTGATGCTACTGACGTCCGTGTGTGTGTTTGTGCATCAAGCTCTGAACCCCACTTTATAAACTCCCGTTCAAATCCATAAAGCACACAAACTATTTGTTTTGGTACAATAAGAGCAGCTCAGAAATATCAGTATGTGTATAAACACAGTAAATGGATGCAACTTAAATGGCTCCAGGGTAAAGTGAGACACAGGGAGAAGTAAATGTTGCCTGCGGCCTTAATGTAAATGTCTCCAACTGCCTTTGATGAAATGCGGCTCTATTGTTTCAGCTCAAAGGCTGTTTTTATGCCCCACTGTATGCATTCATAATGGATTAAGTGCTAGCGGCAAAGTAAATTATCCTTGTCTTCATTGTTTCAGTTCTCCTTTTATTTGTTGAACACTCTGTAGACAGCTATTTGCAAGGCCGTCCTCAAGGTAATAGTGTGAAGCAGTTGAGGTCTTTGTATTTGTTTGTGTGAGTTTCCCCCCATGATTTGAGGGCTCTTCACGCTCCCTCACACCCCCACAAACTCTCCCTGACAGGTAAAGGGAATGTAGAGAAGGCCCTATTTTTCTCCTTTTTTGTTTTGTGTTGTTGTCGCAGCTACGAGGCTAAGGAAATTGTCCTGCTGCTGTAAAGCATCATGTATGACCCCGGCAGCAGGCATGTTCTGTCAATTGTCACAGAGTAAAGACAGGATTATACATATTTGAACATGAAGTTTCCAAATGTGTTTATCAACATTATATTACAATAGTGAAATTGGGCAACACTTGTGATGTGAACAATAGATAGCTATATATCATAGCTAGTTTGATCAGTACTGTAAACCTCTGTTCAACCATGTGTATTAAGTCTCCATTGGCTTTGGTTTGCATTAGCCCAATATCATATTTGCACACTCAAGACTTGTCCCGTGCAATGTGGTTCACTCTTGGGTTTCTAATTTGACCAGACTGCTGCTGTCATTCCTCATTGTCTTTCATCCAAACACCCTCAAATCTGACCTATATTTTCCATGCGTGCACACACTTTCTCTCAACATCTTCATAAACACTACTCCTACACTCAGGCACAGGATGAACCACAGCAACACAGATGTGCTAGGTTATTCCTGAATGTAAGCCTTCTTTGGTTATCTCCTTCTTTGGCCACGCTGCCACATGTACTGTACACCTCATAATGTTGTCATTAGTGGAGATTAGTCCTGGTAATTAGTCTGGATAACGCTACAACTGACAGCTAATAAGGCGTGAGCTCTCCTGGCTTATGTTGTTAGAAAAAGAGAGATGGGTAGGAAAGAGAGAAAATGCAGTGGCAGAAGGGAAACAAATTATATTCATTTGATTTATTTTGAGTTATGTATTTTTGTTTATCCATGCTGCTCTGTTTATTCAGAATAGACAGCCTGACTTTTTACGACAGATCATACAGCATGTAAGGAAAACAAGCAGGAAATAAAGCTGGCAACATGATACAGCAGATGACGTTCAGGCCTGTTATATCTACAATGTGGCTCTAATGACTAATTTTATACTCTAACCAAAATCTAATCTAGTGTTAGATTGCCACGATGAATAATTTATATTTTATATATAGTGGGGTTAAGGTGTATAAATTGTTCCCAGTATTTACAGTCACAACCACATCAAACATACATATTTGTACACAGAGGGACCAATGCATGTTGATCTCAATAAGTAAATGTCATTTAAAGTGGACCTATCATGCTATATTTGAATAATATAGTGTAGGACCATACCTATATAAGGCATATTTATACTTTTTTTTCTTCAAAATACCAAACAGATCATGCATTTTAGCCATGCCTCATTTTGCTCAATTTGACAATTTCTAGCTCTGGGCAGATTCTGTGAGAACAGCACCACCTACAGGCCTGGCATATGTACTACAGCGTCTCCAGCGCTTTCGAACGGCAATGGCCGTGGCTGTCTCCTCCTGATTGGTGGAGTTGGCCCAATAGCCGTAGCGCCACTGTCCTGACGTCAGGACAGTGTTCAAATCTGGATCAGTTTTTATCAGATCCGTTGCAGCCCCTTTTTTAGAGATTTGGGTATGGAGGAAAATAGAGAGGGTTGTGTTTTCTGACACTTGGTGAGTTCCCTGGAACACCGGGGACACATATTCATGTATAAAAGACGTACAAAAGTGCATTTTGCATGATAGGTCCCCTTTAAGTAAGGAAATCAGTGTGTGTCCACAAGGGCTCAATTATTCATGATGTCAAAATGCCCATATATTATTAATTAAGATATTAAAAACAAACTAACATTATATTTGCTGTGGTATTTGTGTTTCCAGAAGATTGTTAATCTTGTTGACTCTGACCTCTCATCAAAACTGCAATTGCAAATTAATAGTTAAAGATTCTAATGTTGCGATAATAGGTTTTTCAATGTTACAAACAACATTAGCTTTCCCTTAGCATTACCCTCACTACATGTTAATAACCTAAAACGTCAACTGAGAACATAATAAAACTAAATGTAATAGCATGCTATGACATCATTGACATACCAAATAACAGCAAACAATGCACTTCTCTGAGATTTGGTCTTTTAGTCGTGAATGTGCTCAAAGTACATGATTAGGCAGAGATGGGACATCGCATTCCTGCTTTTAATATGTCAATGCTGTCAAGACTACCAATGTCAGAAGGATGTTGTACAGGGTGGCACAAATCTGAGGAATTAGCTTTCTGTAACTTATGCTATTATTGGCTAATGATAGTATGTGATCTTCAGCAAAAGCATAGGTGTAGGCAAGGGCAACAAAAAGCAAGATCAGACTGTAGAAAGTACATGTGAGAATACAAGGGAGGGGTGTACAGCAGAGGGACGAGAGGAAGATGGTGGTGAATGACAAATGAGAGAAAGATGAGGGTAACAGAGGGACAGAGTGATGCATGGGATAACCAAAGTGTGTGAGACACACAGGGCACAATCTGAACGCTGTATCAAATAAGATAGAATGCAAAGACCTCAGATTATGTATGAATGTATGAATGCATGTGCTGACTCAGCACCTATACTCAATGCCTTTCTTTCATATCGTCAAATATTTCAGGGTGTCTGGCTTTAAACAGATACTAGAAATATGTGCTCTTTAGAATTGGGAGAGCAGGTGTGGACATCTTATAGAATAAGCCAAATCGCCTGCTGCAAAGAAACTGGCCAGCTTTGTCCACTGATTAAAAGACCACTGTCAAAGGTCTGACAAACTTTGAAATATTGAGCAGCGATAATAATGTCCAGCAACAGGGTTTTTGTAACCTCCCTTCTTCTGAATTATTGACTCGGGTAAGAGAGCCACAAGGTGTTTTTGACTTGGATTGACTTCAGTGATCTTCCTCAAGTCAGAGTGTGTGCAGCCCTGACACGGGCCACAGCCTGCCTCATGGGTGACTCCATTGATTTGTGAAACTTTGCAAACCTAACACTTTTTAGGTTGTGAATGTTCGATGAGCCAACATGCACATAGTTTGAGCCTGCTTCTATATTTATATTCAGTTAAGTGACATTTACTGGCAGTCATAGCATGACTATTGGTTGCATGCATTGCTTGTCCCTTAGTGATAAGGAAGCCCAGCTGGAAAAGGCTTTGCAGCAGCACACTTAAAACTACCTAGTCCCAAATGATGGTTTACTCGTGGTAGGTGGGGTGTGAGGTGGGGCAATGGACAACACTAGAAGATTTTATCGTGCAAAAAAGGTGAGACAAGAATACGAAGAGATAGAGCATCGATATGATGTTGAGCAGGGGAGAAAGTGAAAGAGAGAGGAGGGCCAGAGCATTCACCCAGGGCATGGAATCAGTCGAAGAAATCAATTTTTAATTTGGCCGTCAGGATGGCAAAGCTGGCGTGCCAACATCGCTACTATGGACTTAATTACACAAAAGTGCCCCAGAGAAAGGGAAGATGAGAGGAAGAGAGAGGTGGAGAGAGGTGCTGAGAGACATGGGAGGAGGGGAGGGGGACGGAGAGAGAGATGGGAGGGAGATGTGTGAAATGGGTGATAGCAAGGTCACTGTCTGGTTGAAAGATAAAGAGGCGGAGGTTGCGGTGGAGAGACAGATGGCCATGTACATAAGAAGAGAGGAATCAAGGCTTGGGGGCTGAGGAGCAATGAAACCTGATTTCACACCACAGCACTCTAACTGTGAGCCCAGCAAACACACACATACATCACACTGGGTATGATCATAGCATGTGGGTGACTTTGAACACTCACACACACACACACCCAGTGTATGTAAAAAAAAACTTCATAGGGCTTCAGTGCCTCTTTTGGTGCCTTTTTACTCTTCCTTTGCTGTGCGCTTCCTTTGCTGCCTGGAGGGCACTGGCCAAGCGTATCAAAGGCGTTTGACCACGGTGGTGGCATGAAAGCTCTGCCCAGGACCATAACCGCCACTGATAATCCGAGCTGTGTCACAGAACTAGCACAGGATGAAACACACCGCCGCCTAACCCCCAGACACTCACTTTATTTTCAGCTACTACTGTACTACTTTACCTGCCGCTCTCAGTGACTCTCATTGCAGGTTTTCTCAGCGCCTTTCTACGTGGTTACCCTTGTAGGAAAGCCATTAGAGCTTGAACGCAACACCATAAAACACAAACACCAGGAAATGAACTGGGAAGTTCCAGCTTGAGAGGTGTGGATCAAACACTGTAAAGGCTGTTCATGTTGGACATACTCTGCACTACCTTAAATCAACAGTAAACAAATAATTGTTAGTAATGTATATATCTATAGAGCAAACTGCCTCGCTAGGTTTGAGGAAACCAGATTTTTAAGATTTACATACTTGACTACTTAACCTTTGTTGCCATGTTTTGCAGTACTGACCCAGACCGGAGCACACAGCCCTTGGCGCAAGGTCAAGCATAAATGTCTGATGTTTTTTTTATAGAGATGTTCCCTTCCAGCTCAATACAATATTACTCACCTCAAAAGATTTCATTTGTATAACCTTTGACTGCAATCCATTTCAATGTGTTGCTAATAAACTAAATTACTTTATATCCTAAGACAATGTCCTCTTTTAAACACGTACTTCCGGCTAGTTCTTCCTTATTTGCATCCCCCCTCGCTTAGCTATTTATTGGTTCATCACTCAGTCTGACAACAGCTTCTCAAATGCTCTTCTCTCCAACCATCTGCTCCGACTTTCCATTTCCAACACTTGACTCATTTTCCCTCTTCACTTTCACCTCTATTTGTTGTTGTGAGCACTCACTATAGCCTGTTTTCCTACCGTTGACACCCCCTCCCCTCCCTTGTGCCCGTCTGTACGTTGAATGTAAATCCAGCCCTGTCTTGATGGGAGAGGATAGTTAAACGCCTTGGGAAGTTTAAGACCCACTAGGGATCCTTCTGATAGCAACCCAAATAATGAAAATGTAATTCTACAGGCATAATTAAGTTAGAGATAGGGTGATTACTGTGCGATCCATTAAAAGTGATGGCAGAAGTAATTACTTATTCAATCAGCGTGGTTTTATGAGGATATGCGATGGCACCATGTTGCGTCGCCTCTATACAAGTCATTACATTTACAAGGGCATAATACTTTAAGCTGTGATTGGTCCTCTTGACAGCTTGTTAAATTATAATTTAATACCCTGGTGAAAATAAGTCACTTTTTTTTCAAACCTGGAGAAATAAAGTTGTTTATAGAGCAACTGTCCTCTACATAACCATTCCTGACTGCAGTAAATGCGACTGTGTATTACTGTGTGTACGCTTCCATGCCATGAGTATAAATCTGGAACTTTGTGATTTTCCGATATCCCACTGTGATGTGTACAATCAATGCCTGTGGATTTGTTTGGTCTGCAGTGTGGTTTGGAGGAGAGAAAACAAACACTTGAAAGGGATTCATGATACTGCATGTCTGACACGTCCTACGCTCAAATACTGTCTGCCCACAATGATGATTCTCAGGTGTTAGAGTCAACACCAATGTGTTTCAGTATGTGTGAGGATGATGCACAGCCAAACAAGCTGTTTGTTCTCACTGCAACGTTGTGATGTTGATGATCTCATTTTTCATTACCAAAAAGACACAAACTGATGTAATCACAATTTAATGTGGGCTGGTGCAGTTGAAAATGTTTTCAACAGCAAGCAACCTGCTAGCATGAGGCAGAGAGAAAGTAAAAGAACAGTGTGTGATCAGCTACATACAGTATAAAATCACAAACTGATTCATTCAGATCAACTCACATCTCGAAGGCAGCCCATGAAGTTGTTGCTGACTGGTGATCCGGGCAGGTCGGCGGTGTTGGGGCTCCCTCCGATGTAGAAGAAGTCATCTGAACCCAACATGGTGTAATCTTCCTGGGTGTATCCAGTGGTGGTCAGTATACCATCCACTGAGATGGTCACCTGACATAGGCATGGCCCAAAAGAGACAGTGAGAGGTAGAGAGGCAGAGATAGAGAGCAGGAAAAGATGGGTAGATATACAGGATGATGAGAATGGAGAGAATTTAGAAGAATGTGGAGGAAAAACAAGGAAGAAAGTGGATTAAACACTGGTGCTAGGCGGGGTTGTCCCCTAAATGGTAGCGATTGGTTTGTTGCTTTTAGTGCCACTCAGACTGGGGGCTTTCACTCTAGAGTGCAGTTGCTAAGAGAACAAAAATGAATGAGCGCTGTGCTCACTGTGTAATCATGAATCGTGATTTAATTCGCAAGAGTATACTTTAATGTAATCCTATACTAGATTAAGTGCAAAATCTATATGGCAGCATGTATAAGGTAACATAATTAAAAAAATATCAACAGGGCTTTCCCTGTGATTGACATAGCTTCTCTGTAAAACCCCTTTGCTGAACCCCATTTCAGTTAAGCCCCTGTCACACTGTCCCGAAATTGACACCAGATGGATACACAAATATGGAATTGTGAATTTCGCACAAAGATGGCCACGAACTTGGTCAACAGCCAAGCAACAGCTGAAGCAAGTACGATGCCTACAGAAGGCCACACGATGGCACCCGAACCACACACGAAGATATGGTCGTAGACGTTACTGATAATTTAGAATGTATCCAGACTCAACGTAAGAGCTTGTGCCTCGGGGGGTGCTAACATTTAAACATACACTTTATTATTTACTTTCTCCGTCTTTATATGTAGATTAGAAGATATTACTTATTATATACACATGTCTACCCTACTTTTATAATTTTCGAATCATAAATCTAATCGATAGATTTATGATCAATAGATTTATGATTCGAAAATTATAAAAGTAGGGTAGACATGTGGAGATTATCCGAATGAACAAAACGTGATCTGTCTCTTCAATTTGTGTCAACCACAGACCTTATTTCGAGCTATTTTCCAAAATCCTATGGAGAAATTGCATCGCTTTTTGTCGAAGGAACCGGAAGGAGTTTACTTCCGGGTTTTAGGACGCGTCACTGTGGCACTCTATTGCGAGGGCTTCTGGTGTCAATTTCAGGACAGTGTGACAGGGGCTTTAAGGAACTACCAGTAAAAATAAACTCCTTTGTAATGTTTAATTGCCTGAAGTCTTGTCTTTTGAGCAAGGTTACACATTATGCTACATGCTTGATCGCTAACAGAGCGAACAGTGCCGGGAGGAATCAAACACACGGCTGCAAGCTGATGGCAGGAGATAGTGTGGATTGAAACTTAAGAAGACTTAATATAAAAAATATATTAATTTAATAATACAGGTGTATAAAGGGTACATTTTTGAGGATCCTCCAGGCTTTTCCGTGAGATTGGATTTTTGTTCTTTCGCTCAAATGGTATTTTGATGTCTGTAAAATTGAGTCTCGGTACCCTTGTATTACTGTAATATGACTAACTTGATCAAATGGAGTTCTAACCTAAATTACATCAGCATGTGCGGGGACTACTCTGGCACTGATGTAACACAAGACCTAACATGATGAGGTGAAGCAACTGTTTAAAATTCAACACCAGACCATGGCGGTTTAAAGAATACATGAAGAGTGAATAACATGACACAAGGGATATGCTCCATTGGAAATAGAATGAAGGAAAAGGATTCTCTCAACTCACTTTTTCCACGATTTGTCTTTTTCACATTATACTCTTTACAAAGTGGCAAATTGCACTGCTAATAAGAAAAGTGTGTCTTTTGCATTATCACGTCAGATATCATGGCTGTATTTCCATCAGTGCCATAGCTATTTATCTACAGAAACAAAATGAAAGATAATGTTGGTTTTTGCATTTAGTGACCAATCATTGGTGCAATTATCCTAATAGAGTGGGCCTGAGTGGCCTAAGTGAAGGGCTTATGTCTCTGATTCAACATCTGCTATTCTAAAGAATTGCAGGGAGATTTGTACACATCCGTCTGTTTTTCATTAACACTGCACACTCAAAAGTGTTGCCAGCACAAGCTAGCTTAATTTGATCAGCGGTCTAACTTAATATTTCCGTAATTTACAATTTTATTTTGCACGTTATATCTAGAGATACTGCTTTCCTTAACTGTAGTTCTGATGAGCACGTTTTAAGAGCAGCAGGCTTTGAGCACAGACACATTTTAACCAATAATAATCTACAAAAAAAGCATTTATCCTAGAAGAAAAACAAGAAAAAAGCCTCAATATGAGGTTTAGCAAACACTCTTAGGCTGAACAGAAACCTTAGCAACTGCACTCAACAGATCAGGCGCCCCAGCTAAGTGCTTGTCTTCTCTTTTTCCTGACAGTTTTGTTTTCGTTTTTTTTGTACTTCCCTTCTTAACAGGGCAACTCATTTTTATGTCTGCTGTTTCTACTTGGAGATAAAGAGCTATCGTATATGTCAGATGTATATGGCATGAGGAGTCCGCGGTTGAACGTGCTGGTGTGTCGGGGTCGTCTTTGAAGATCTCGGATTGGGCTTTCAGCAGGGCAACTTAGTGTGTCCTATTGTGTCAAGAAGCTAAGGAGAAGATACAAGGGAGGGGGGGCATGACCTCTTCTCGTATAAGGAGATAGGATGTCAAACGGTAGACATATTACCTGTAGATTTTCTGAAATCAAAATGTGGACTTAAGTGCTTAACATGTTTTAGGGCCAAGCAAAGCTTTTTGGATTTGGGGGAATATTTTGTGAACTGTTGTTGATTTGTCATTGGGGCCATGCAGGACTACAATTGGCTAGCTGCCAGACACCTAAACAATTCCCAGCTAAAAAGGGGACATTTGAGGTAAGCATTTGTTTTTTCATTGTTCTTTCTCTTGCCATCTCCACCATCCCGGTTCCACCACTTAAATTGGTTTTAATGTATGCATTGCATCAACACAATCCCTGGGGAAATCATATTACAGTCATTGATTCATTGTGTAATCAGAAAATGGCAATACAAAACCCACAATGATCCAAAATAAGAACATGCATTGATAGTCAAAAATAAACAAAAGCAGAACAAATATCCAAGGGTTTTCTCTGAGGTGACTTTGTGATTATTCACAAGAGCTAGTTAGACTTTGTTTCATTCAGAATGCACACTCATCTCATTGAGTAATATTACAGGCACTTGCATCACTGGCCAGAGGAGGACAAGGGTGATAATATCCCAGGTTGCTGCTAGAAACACCATGATGCTGCTGGCCTGGAAGCCATGCAGCTTTGAGAATATAAAAATAAAAACCTTTGCTGCAAATTCGGAGAATATGGCCTGGTTCGAGCTTACACCAACACCTGAATCAAACAACTAAGAAGCAACGCTGGAAATAAGCTATCTCAATAAGACAACACACATAGCACACAAATACCACTGGTGCTTCTGTTGGATTCCTTGTTCTTCAAATACCTCTTTAGCCGAGTGCAAACATAAACCAAACATAGCTGAGCTGATCTGTGCTGAACTGTGTGCCCCAGATATCACAGGAAACACAGTCTGGAGCTGTTTACAGATAGATTAACTGTAAAGGGATTGACACAGCCATGAAACCATATGGGAAGCGTTCCAATTTAGCCCAGTGTTGGAAATATTATTCTGTTATGATATCAAGTTATCCCTTTTTAAACCTATCTTTCGATTGTGTGCTTATTCCTCATAAACCTACAACTACCTACAGAATGACAAAGCTTTTGTAATGGGGCTTCACATGTAGTGTCCTACTGTGTGATCAGCTGAGCGTGTTACAGCCTCATTGACCAAAACTGGCTCCATGACTGCAGGCTCCTGGCAACTGAACGATCCGACAAGAAGACCCCTATTTTGTCAAGTAATCAAAGAACAACAAGATTCCAACTAGAACAATACTGACAACACTTATATCACACGTAACAGTTAATAACACCATTAAATCATGTATAAACATCACGTATTTTACACAATTCCTAGCGTCTATCCTCTGCTATCATCTATCTTCCAGCTCATCCATTGTCTGATTCTGGTTGCCACTTTAGTGCTGAATAAGGAAACAAAATAAGGAAAGGGAGCTGAAGGTAAAACATGTCCTGTGCATCAGCTATAAAGCAGAGCATCAGAATGAACCCAGATGATATTGAGGGTTTGAGGAGAAAGATCAAAGCAAGTCTTGCAGCTGAAATGCTCCACATCCCACATTACGGTATATGAAGCTTTACCATTTCAACTCTCAGCTTTGCGTGACTCACTTTGTGCACACATCATCGAGGAATACAAAAATGTTCTACCTTCATTTCCCAAAGGCAGTCGTGATTTCCAGAATCCCATTTATATTTTTAGCACGAGATTTCTGTTTCTATGTCAGCTACTTTTGTCATGTAGCACAGTCTGTCCAGGTACAGACACCCATCAGTACCTTCATGTATTCAACATTGTAATTCTTGCAGAGAAGAGCAAGCGTACCTTGAAAATGTATCACTTACCCTTGTTGGCACTACATTTGATATTTTGCAGGGAGAAACAATGTGTTATATTTAGATTACACAGTTGAACGCTCACACGTATCATAATAGATCACACATTACCGCCTTGCACCACATTGCCCCCCCATTAGCTCAGGTCAAAGCCAGACCCGCAGGAGGGGAAGATGTTCAAAAGAGTAAGAGAAAAAGGAGCTTCTCATCCAGCGGTGGACTTCAGTAGGTGTCTGGCAGCTTGTCAACGCGTATTTGAGTAATTTATTGTATGAGGAGGGTTTGTCTTTCAACGCTAAATATGGAATATGTAGTTTTAGCTAAGCTACATATCTAGGTTAGTAAATGAGGGAGGGTTGAGAGGCCTGAGGCAAGTGTTCTTTGGCAACAGTTGTCAAGGGGAGGGGGAGAGAAAGAGGGGGAGTTTTTAGTTGTGTGCCGAAAATAGTTAGGGTTGGAGGGTGAACAAAATCGGTTAGTACTTTTGTAAGTAAGGGAAAGTCAGACACAAAAATGGTTGTTAGTACAGTTACAACAAAGGTTTGATTCAAACAGTAGATTAGTAACACTGTTTTAGTCAATTTAGTCAGTGATAAGTAGGTGAGGATTCTTTAAAAGTCCTCTGAAATTTGATTGCTCAAACCAGGTCCAAATTTGGACTGAATGTGTTATTTCATGGGCAAGGGTTTGTTTTGGTTGAGAGGAAACAAAATGAATCCATCCAGGCTAACAGGGTGACACACAAGCCATGCACTTAAATGGGAAGATGACAGCGATAATGTGCGGATGGGAGGAGTATTCCATTAAACACAACACAAACAGACCCACTATTAAATAAAAAAAACATCTGGCACGATGCAGCAACATGGGAAAGTAGAAGGGAAGGAAATGTAATTGCAGGGGCACCACGACACCAGACAAATGGGAAAAGAGAGGTTTCAATGTAAAGGTTTAGAAAAGAAAGCAACAGAAATAAAAACCCATAGACACGTGGTCAACAGACTGACACGCGCTGGGGCTTGGGCAGCAAGTTCTCCTGTGAGTACGCTGATGGGAAGGCGTTCTAACAGATGGACACATGCACATCAGATGCAGGGACACAACCACTGGATACTGGAGGTGTGGAGGTGGAAGAGGGATAGGATGGGACCAATCACAGATGAAATTAATGGAAATGAGAGTTTTTTTTTTTTTAAAGAATAGAGAAAATTGAGAGGGGAGAAAGGACATCCCTGATTTGGGTGAACAGAGCAATTTGTATTCCAATGGCATGATGTGTCATAGCATCACTTTCCATGTTAGATATGGAGGAAATCTGCACCCGTACATGATTGCACTAGAATTCCCCCACATAATGTCTGATGTGAGCTTGAGATTGCGTACTCATTTTTGTCAGATTTGAGCTTGAGTGAGTCACTAGATACAGAGACTCATAACACTTTCCTCCAACTCATGTGTTATGATGGATTTAGCAGATTTATTGCTTGGGGCATCAATTCTCTATTCACCCAGAAAAATGAATGTCTGTGTCCCCTCTTTACTTTTTCCCTTTTTTTGTTTCAGCAAGAAAATATGTGAGGTCGTTATTCATTTTAGTAAGTTAATTTGAAGTTAAAAAAAGAAAAACAAATAAAGTGAAATAAAATAAATAAATCAGCAAGAGGGTGTGGCTAACATGTTTCATGGCCGTATTGATTATATTAGGACATGTGATATATGTATGTATATATGTTAGCCAGGATATATACATATACATATATACTCAATGCAATCTGTATATAAAAAAAAAGATTGGGAAGAGGGTTCAAATCTCTTCATGCAAGGGGTGAGGCCAGTAAAGTATAATATAAGTTAGTGTTAGTGTTAATGAGGGGTCGATCGCACACAGCTCAGATTTTCTCAGGCAGTTCTCATTATGGTCTGCATCAATGGCCAGACAGCTTCATATATTGATTCGTCCAGTGAAAGCAAGTAAGGCTGAGCATGTCTACTAACATCAGATTCTACCAGATATTTGCATTTGCCATTTTATTCTCATTTATGAGCCTTCAGTACTCTTGAATTACATGTCTGCACCCAATTAGGGGTCTAATGACAAATTAAAGCACTTTATTTAGTGCCCACACGTGTGGAAGGCCAGCAATGTGTCCAGGTGCAGGTCTAAGAACAGTCCCATCTGGTTGATTAATCAAGCTAAGGCCACTAATGGGATCAAACCCTCATTTGAGGCATACTTTAATAGTGAAGGCTTTGGCCTCTAAATCAAGGGTTGTAAATACTCTTAATGACTCCATAAACCACAGCATGGCCAACTAAGATAACAGGTCACTAAACGGTGAACATTTCCAACATAAGAAGATCATCATTGCCTTTCTCTCGTGTTGTTCAAAAAGTTAGGTCTTTTTTTGTTTACTTGCTCTCACTGGAGTTACTCGAGTAGGCTTTTTGTGTCCCTGAGAAATCTGCTGTGTACGCTCTATTCATAGGGTTATTCTAAGAAAAGAAATCAGGGGGGGACAGGGATTAACAAAAAAGTAAAAAGGTAACTTTTCTAATACTCAATTGAGAAAACATTTTTGCATTATGATTCTTTATTTCTTCATACGGATAGTGTTCGAAGTAAAACAAAATAAAACAAATCAAAAGGGTCAAAAAATAAAGCAAAACAAATCAAATCTAAATAATTGTGAAATCTTTGTATTTTTGGGCAGACCTCTTTGGATGAACACGTAAAATATTTTCAGGAAGGGGAGGACTGGATGGCAATAAAAAGCAGTAACATATAGAGAGGGCTAAAAGAAAACAGAGAGGTGGAGTTTTTCAGCTACCTTGGAATTGATGGCGGATTGCACTTTCAGTAAAGCAAACAGAATAGAGAGAGGTAACGGAAAACCCAGGGCAAACCAAAGTATAAGACAATTAGAATGATATCTACCATATAATGCAGTTTGTTTACCATAGCGTGTCCAATGCCTGCGTGCTTCAGGAGAAAACAGGGGGAGGAGAAAGAAAAAATAAAATGACCAACCTTAAACTTAAGAAAACACACCTCAACCCCAAAAAAGTGGCAAAGAAAAAAAGAAAATTGCCTTTTTGAAACCAGCTTTTCTTTTCATTAACAAATATTAATTTAATATTCATAGATGATTTAAAATAAATATTTGTCCTATTATTTATATAGTATAACATCCAAATAAAGAAATAAAGAAAGCAATTATATAATTAGGGTAATCTACCAAATGAAATAACAGAAAAGGAATAAAAGGATAACAATACATTTGTTAGTATGTAAGTCGCAAGTTAATTAGAGAAAACAACAGATGGTTCACATTCCGTGAATGACACAGTGTTAGTTTTTGAAATCATAAAAAGGTAAGGGAAAAGAAAATTCACCAATGAAAAGAATCAAATTGGAAGAATTCTGAAGCTTGTTGTTAGTAAAAGAGACAAGAGTTAGAAAATCAACTTCCACAGGGGGGATTTGGGTAGTTTTGATGGGGGTGTTTGTTTAGAGTGGGGAAGGGGAAGAAGGAGAAGTTCATCAGTGTCAGGATTCAATCTGACGAGCTAATCTGGTCAGCAGCTGGCGCTGGGCTCTAGTCCATTTCAAATTGAAGTCCTTTTGTACTGGGCGAGGCCAATCATGTCTTGATCACTTGAATTGGTGCACATATCTCAGAAATGTTTCCCCAAGTAGTCTTTAAGGGGTTAATGTTGTTTAAGAAAGAGAAAACAAAAACATAATTATTGCATTGTAAAAATGGACAATTGTGGTAAAAGTCAAGTGATGTGAAGTTTAGGGAAACATTCATTTAGAAGATTCAGAAAAGGATAGAGAAGGATAGAGAGAAAGGTATTTCACTGAGGGTTCTGATATCTGCAGCAACCTAAAAAGGAGATGAAAAGGTCATTAGGTAACTTAATGTGATTTCACACAATGAAGAGCAATGGGTGTTCTCCCTGGAAGGAGGAACACATACACCTGAAATGGGGAAAAAAACAATCAATGAATAAGGCATCATGTGACATATCTGAATTCTGATAGGTGTTGTGAAGAAGGGGATTGTTCTGCACATATAAAATGTTGCTTTACTGTCTCTGGTTCAGCAATATGTCGGTTGTGTTGCTCGTCCAAGCTTTCCAGCAGAAACAAAGTCTAGCAGTCACTTCTCATTGCTTGTTATCTCAGCTCTATGTTGCTGTTCATGCTACTCAGTGGTGGTGCTCAGTCAGTATACTCTGTATCGGCAGTGAGAGGGTCAAATATCTATCACTCAGATCTGCCATGAGTTTCCCTTCAGGGTGGAATGGACATCTAGAGGACATCTTATATTTTGATTAAAACATTTGAAATTGTCAGCTGCTGTGAGTGATCATATCTGATCTAGATCCTAGCAGGATTTGGACTAAAAGGGTGAATTCAGAAGAAAAGTATTTAGTAGTAAAAACATACAGACATAACTTGTCATGTTTGAGTATAGGTTCTGACGTTGTGAGTGAGTCTGTCAGTCTGTCCCTGTAGAATACACAGTAGGTACTGTGGGTGTCTGTGTGTGGGATGGATCACTGAGTGGAGCTGAGTAAGTGGCAACAATAAACAAAGTCCTCTTCATGTGGAAAACTGGTGGTTATGAAGCATCATGCACACCCACGCTTTGATCCCAGGTCATGGTAAAAAGCTGTCACCGGTCACACATTATGTCTAATGACTCCTCTTATGCATTAATTAGGTGAATAAGATGCAGGATGTGAATTCATGTATTTAAACTTGCACTGCTATCTCTCTGAGTTAAGAAAAACAACAGTTGACACATCAAAGAACAGATTTGAAGGATAATCTCTAACAACTAGGAACCTATAGCGACGGTTTATTAAGTTAGACAAATGTTTGCTTTTAAAGGTGACAATGACTGTGAGCCTTTCAAAACTCACTCAATGACTGTCTGTGAAACAGCAGGGTAAAGAAATGAGAGATTATTAAGTGTGATTTGTTTTTCATTCTGTATCTTTTAGGTGTTTCAATGGATGTGTGTATTTTATCAGCTCTTTGGCAGGTTAAGGGATGGTTGTGAATAAATGTATTCTTCAAAAAATGCTGACGATCTTTGAATTTACATGATTGAAGTGATGGAGGAAAACACGTGGTGGAAATGAAAGGAAGAGATTACATTTAGAGGAATATGTGCATGCATAGTGTCTGCCTTATCCTATACAATGAGTGAACATATACCAGGGGTACTCAAACTTTTTTATTAAAGGTCCAGTTGTGAACTTTATACAAGGTCACTGGTCCGGATCAATGCCAGTAAAGTCCCCCCCCCCCCGAGCGGAGAAACGAAACTGAAATTAAGAAGCAGTTTATTGGCGCTCTTTGCATGGAGTTTCCCGACATGTCGTTGCAGTAAATTAAAGGGTGTTTCATGTTGTCGTTGCTGTGGACCTTCTTAATCTACCTTCTTTGGGGGCCCCCTTCTGGTCCAAGCACTTGCCTGCCTTGCCTGTCGGTAAACGGCGCCCCTGTATACACACATACATTCAATACATACATACAGTATGTCAAGGTAAACTTGCAGTTAACTTGCGGTCTGCTATGCGTGTCACGCTCGCGCACACAAGTAAATATATATGCACGTTCATTCTCACAACGTGTCAGACACAAGACGCGCGTACATGATGATGTACATTAATTTATCAGAATCAGATTTTTTTTTTTTTTTTTTTTTTTTTTATTATTATTTTTTTTTTTTTATCATGGGACACAGGGTTCGGTCCGGATTGATTTGCAGTTCGGTCCGGATCCGGACCAAGGTCCGGATCCGGACCTTGGTCCGGAGTTTGAGAAGCCCTGACATATACTGTAAGTGTCAGTCTGTAAGTAAGCTGTATATGCATATAGGAAAGGTTTATTTTAGTTATCCTGAGCAGGTCAAAATGATATTGACTTTCCAATAAAACAAAAAGTATTATTATTATTAATAAGGAGATGCATATAACTTGAAGTTGCATAAAAAAAAATGTGAATTTGCTGAATGAAGAAAGTACATCTGTGTTCATTTTCATTAAAATAGCACATCAATATAACGGAATAGGATATGCAGAGGTGACTTGATTAAATGAGTGGGTTGTTGGAGGAAATTATGTTTTATTTTCCAGCAACAAATGAACCAATCATTCCATTACAAGAAAGTCGACAGATCCACTGGGGTCAAGATTATAAGAGTAAAACATAAAAAATGCTAAATGAATGAGCTGCCACGCTGGAGAGAAGTGCAGCAAACTGAGCCATTGAAAGTCACGTGAGGATCCAGCGGCTTTGCTATTATACATCTTGTACTGCATGGGGATTGTAATTAATGCTGAACTGGTACCCCATTGTCAAGATCAATAGTGCAGAAAATTAGATTTGTTCTTTTTGTGTTAATGTATAGGAAGCATAGTGCTCTGGTCACTAGAGGAAATACAGTGGACTGACAACAACATAGAATCCTGGGTAGTCTAGAACCTAAAGAAGAGTAGGAATGCAGTAGTATCAAACATAGAATAAACTACTCATTTCCTTTTTTCATGCACTGTTCTACTTTTCCTGAAAGCCAAAATGCCTGGAAGCCCTGCTTTGACAGCACACCCCCCTCTCTGTAATTGACCCATGTGGGAGAACAATTCTGTGAATGGCGATGTTTGCTGATGGAGGATTAAGCTCCCAGTCATGTAAACAAACACGGGCCAAGACAAACACCTATCTGCTGAAACTGTCTCTCAGGGCCCCCTCTGGGTTCCGGAATCTTCATGTATTAAGAAGTGTGAGGACGGGAGCGAATGCTAATAGTGTTGTGATTCACTATCAGTTTTGCAAAGCTGTGCTTTTCACAGACAGGTGAAACGGTTGAGACAAATCCTTTAACTCCTGCTGAAGATCTGCATAATGCCATTCACAGTTGGCAAAGAAGTAAAATGGTGTTTCTGTCACGGTGCACTTCACTGAACTACAGCCACCAGTGAATAAGCTGGATAAATATATAATGACAAATGGATGGTTCAACCGAGCCAAGATTCCCAGTCCAGATAGATTCATCCTTGTAACGTAGAAAGGTCTAATCATCTTTTTCCTATAAATCTGGGACTTCAGTTAGAAATAAGTGATGCAACTGATACCGTGGAACAGTATTATTGGGTGGGAGGGAAATGGGTGCTATTTTTCACCAGGCAGACATTTCACAGTCTGAATTGATGATTAGAGACTGTATGTGTACCTGTGGAAATATGAGCTCAATTTTTGTTGGCTGCATCCATATCATATACTGCCTTGCTGGGTATTTATGCGTGTGCGGTGTATAAGGCGTTCTTCTGCAGCACAGACTCTGTGAGTGACCTTGTCAGATGGAGGAGAACTGGGCTTCGATTCAAAATAGCTCTTTCAGGTACATTTGGTTTTGCGTTCATTCCAATCATCAGCCATACACTCGTGTCTGCCTCTCTCTTAATCTGGCTGGAAGTAATGGAAACCGGCAGACAGGCTTCAGGTGCAAATATAAATGTCACTGCAATTACTGTGAAGAGAAGTCTGCAAACAAACCGTGAGTGAGCGCCTGTGTATGTGTGTATGTGTGTGCATTAAATTGCACGATTTTGTTGGTGTATTATGATGAAGGTGGTAAAAAAGTGTTCCTCTTTTTCAGTTGTGCTACCTATCATACTCACCTCTATTTTACTATATCTGACAGACTCCCTCATTCTCCTGAGAAACCATCAGGAGGACATTAAAGTCAAGCAACAAGTACTTATTAATAATAAACTAAGCAACAGTTAATGATTTAACTATTGATGCACAGCTTTTAGGATAAACGTTACATTTGTGAGTTGATTTTAAAGAAAGAATATTCACTAAAGGCTTGGCAGACAGACAGATGGTTATCTAACTTACATAGGCATCATAGTTTAGGAATTCATCACCAAATGTGGGACCTGTTTTAAGCACGTAGC